TTCCTCTGTTTTCATTTATTTTTATGTTGTTTGGTACTTTATGCAGCACAGTGATTTTTATTGTAAAAGAAGCATATTTCATTTGCATTGATTTTTTGTACATATATGTTATTGGCCATCATTTGGCACACAAAGCACTTAATTTGTGTAATTCTTTCATTTTTTGTGAGTTAATAAAATTTATCGTCTGCATTTTTTAAACTTGGCTTGTGTCATTTGTGTGCCCTTGGTCTTATAAATTAAATGTTACCTCAAACATTTGTTTGAACTATTTGTTTTTTTTTCGTAGATTTTTCTTTTTTACCAAATAAAAAAATCCTTTAATTTTTATTGAAAAACAATAAAATTTAAAAAGATGGAAAGTTTTGGTCTTTTAGTACACATGTACCAAAATGCTATTAAAATTTTAATAAACATTACTAAACCTCATAACATCTTGAATTGGATCCCTTCTGAAAGTTCATACATCTAAAAGATAATATTCCATCAAGTAAACATGCACACTCCAAAATTATTTTGTTTCTAGTTAAAATTTGCAGTAAAAGTGAATCAGTACTAGAATAATTTTTTGATTTTACTGATACTGTAATACAAAGTAATGACAACTTCAGTTACCCAAAATGGTAAAACTGGCTTTACTTTACAAATTCAGTTGATTTAGTAGATCATAAAGTACAGATAAAGAAAGTACAAGTGTATGATAAGTTTTCTGAAAACAATATTGCCCTTGTATTGTTTTTTTTTTTTTTTTTTTTAATCAACCTGAGGACAGAAGAAGGTATTCTCTTTCTAATCTTTACTTGGTTAACATGAATAAGTGAACTACTAAAAGTTTTCATAAGTGTAATTATTACATGTCCTTTGAGAAGAATCAGTTTTCAACCTTGAAAAAAAAAAAAAAAGAAAAAAAAAAGAGTATCTGTCATAAAAACATGAATCTGTCTTTAACTTAATGCATGATAAGATAAAATAACACTTTTTAAGCAATTCAGTATTACCCACATGAAGACAACAGAAATCGGAGATTTATACATGAAAAAAAAAAAAAAAAAAGCAACAAACAACACTCTTTTTAGTTGCAGTTATAGTCACATATATGAATTTATACTAATAATGCAAGAACTGAATGGATTTAGCATATACTGCCAAGAAGTTTTTCTTGTAGCTCTAACAGAAATAATGGACTCTCCCATCAGTTTCGACATATGAGGATCTGACAACTTAACAAATTGATTCAGTTATGAATTTTGTGCGATAATCTTAAGTACCACTTAAGACCCACAAGTGATTTGCAAAGAAGGCTGCATATGGAACAAGAGTGAAGATCATAGGATGAGATCACTGCTAGATTGGCTGACCTTTTAGATCTTGCATCTTGAAGACAATTCAGATTAGCAGATTGAAAACTGCTGAGTCCACCAAAACATGTTGATTGCCATTCTACCCGCTCCACTCGAGGGTGTTATGAGGTATATTGACAGCTGACAAGTTGCTCTTCAGCTTGTCTTTGTATTTAAGTTATGGGCATCCTACATTCCTGTGGCCTTAATCTAACTGGCTGAAACATTAGGATCTTGGGTATCCTGTCATCAGACATTCTCAAGACATGACCAGTCCATTGCAACTGAGACTGTATGAGGAAAGTTTTGATTCCTCCAATATTACACCTGTTAAACAGGTTTACATTGGATGTCCTGTCTTGAAGGCTAACTCCACAGATGTCACACAGACATCTCTTATGGAAAACATCTAGCTGGCATATATGTTACCTGTATGAAGTCTACAACTGAGGTATACAAAAGGATGGTAAGGACAATAGCGCTGTAAACCCAAATTTTATTTTCCAGTTGGATATCTCACTCATCCAACAAGCAACTGAATTATAAACAAAATTAAGTCTAATAACGCTCTGCATTAAATAAAACTAGAGAATGAACTAGCTGAAACTAAAATGAGGATAATCATCAAAAGAAAAAATATTGTGCGTTAACAACTCATTTAAAAATAAATAAAACAGCTTGACAATTTTGGTACAGATTTCAGAATATTTTCTTAGATAAAATATTACTAAATCTTAACATGTGATATTGCACTATAGTGTGAAGAAAAATACATTAAGATATTTATTCTAATCCTAAATATAAATTATTTGAAATTATACTTTAAAAAAAAAAGTCTATTTTTCTTAGCTGCTTGACCTTATAAATTATTTGGTTGTCTGTGAATATGGTTTATTGCCTTATCACTGGATACATAGGTTATTTAATACCAAGTAATATGAAAGTGTTACACATTGCCATGTATAAACATTTGGATATACTTTTAGAAAAATTCCAGACAATTAAGACTTGGGAACTGACCATAAGCTTCAATTTAAAACAGTAGTATTTTACTTATCAGTTATACTTACAAATTCTAACAGCAACTGGAAAATTGCTAAATTTTATAAATAAATGTTTCGGTGTTGGTTTGCTCCATGGCAGAGATAGTCATGGATTTCTCACCAGTGACAACAGTATGTGTTCAAAACCAAGTAAAAGTTATGATTCTGAATGCTGATTTTCTAGGCAAATAGCTAGACCCTACTCATTCAAAGAAAAATGATCTTTCTATTGCACATTCTCCTTTCCCCACACTACTATTAATTTGTGTCATAATGACCTAAGCTTAGTATTATTACAATGATTTCAGTGATGAAAAAGGGAGAAAAAACATATAAACACTCTTCCCAAGTCTTTTGAACAGAATAGAGGTTTATCTCTTGTTTAAGATTAGGTTTCCAATTCCTTCTGAAGTCTTCTCATTCTCTTTCACTCCAAGTAGCCCCCTTGCATCTTAGTGGCATTATTGCTTGGGGTGAATTGATAAAAAAAAAAAACAAACAAAAAAAAAAAAAACAAAGAATTTCTAAATTTGAATTATAAAGTTAAAATAGGGTTGGTTAATAATCTCACGGGGTTACCTCCCCTTATTCATAAGCTTGATAAGGAAGTCCCCCACCACCATTTAATGAAATAGTCACAAAACAAGACATTTATAAACATAGTATTTGAAGATTTTCCATGAATAAATTTACTGGTAAAGAATAAACCAGATATCAATCTGTAATACACTATATTGAAATCTAAACTTACACTGAGTAAGAGTAAGAAAATTGGTAATACTTAACCTTCATGCTTGCAAAAAACAATATGTGAAAAGGATGGTTATTGTCTTGACACTGTTATTAATGCTCACGCTTTTGACTCCCTCGTCATGTAATCCAAGGGCAATGCAATATTCATAAAGAGTTTTTATTTAGCATTGTATAAAGAAATAAATTTGAAAAATTACAAAATTATCAAAATATGTAAACCAACTATGATGCAATATTTGTTACTTATTTAAATGTTCTTGTTCATAGACACTTTTTGAAACAATAAATATTGCTGAGACAGTGATAGGAGTTTGCAGTGTCAGCTGTCCTTTTGACACCTTTTTTTTTAGGTTACGAAGGTTAAACATTGCTGAAAAATATTTTCACCAGATTATTTATTAATTTAATTGAAATAAATCAATTATTTAATAAACTTAAACCATAATTATGTATCTAACAATTTGTGATGTTATTGCTTTGAATTAACTAATGAATTTACAAAATGAAAATTTATATTTGCATACATGAAAGAATTAAGTTAATAAAATAAGGTTTGATAAATGATTAATTAGTAGTTGACAATTTAGAGAGCTGCACTTTTTATTGTGAATAATGAAACATTTATGAATAAAATCTGCATTCAAAATATATTCATTATTTTTCCCTTCAAAATTGAGTCATCTATTTTCACAAAATAAACAACAATATACAATAAAAAGAATGACAGCTATTAAAAACTTCTTTTTTATCATTATCCAAATATTTGGATTAGTTTAGTATAATTATCTGAAAATGCAATTTTATCTACATTTTTGTATGATTTAAGATCCCTGACCAAGTCTACCAAACATTGAATATGATCATGTGTTACTAAAATTGTAGAAAGATTGAAGAAAAATAGCACAAATGGAACAATATATATAATACTAGGAAAATATTGAACAATTATTAAAGAATAGAATTCAGATTTAATAACTAATTAGATGCATTAAGAGAATACATTTAGTTTTTAAAAATATACATTGTTAAATAATTGAACCCGTATTAGAAAGTGAGTTACTTCCCTTACAGCGTTAAAGTGGGCATACACACGGTTTCTCTGAAAGTAATGCTTCCTATTTTCCTAATTACGTGGAGTCATGACGTTCGATGTTGATGTTGACGGTATGACAGTAGAAATTGAACCTTTATACCAATTTACCCATAATATTTTTTTACCTTCTTACCGACAGCTTCTGGTAAAACGGCTTTTTGATGTGATGTGAAGTATTTTGTCATTGGCAACAGCAATGAAAAAATGAAAAATGGGCTGCTCTCACTGTTGATAAGTTTTATGAATGCTGCACTCAGGCAGTTCATCAGTGGCTAAAATGCATAATCAATGGTGGTGACTCTATGGAAAAATAATCTCTTATAATTGAATACATTGGGATTCTTGTACTCGTAATTTACATGGAAATAAATAAGAAGCATTATTTTTGGAGCATCCTGGAGGTGGGGGTGCTAAAATGTCAAATTATCATGACCAAGAATGGGTTCCAAAATAAATTCTGATATTTGGTTAGACTCTGAGAAGTAGTTTGGGTCAACAACTTTCATTAAATATATATATATAGAAAAATAGTATGACAAATTGAGAAAAAGTTCTTGTGACATGTTTCATTCATTACGATTTCATTGGTTGAAATGCGTCACAAAAATTTTTTTTCAACATAATACTATTTTTTAAAAATACTGTTTGTTGATATATCAAATTATATATACATGAACTGCAAAAATATATCAAATGAGGTATACTAATCTGAAAGGAACTGCATATGAAAGAGAGACTAATAATAACCTTCAAGTATATTAAAAAGGTTACCTGGTTTTTAATAAACCCATTTGTACACCTTCTGCTACATCCTTGATGGCTGTGCTGATTTCATCCTGGGATGAATAAGCTAAACAGATGTTCAAAAAAGCCCTACAAAAAGAAAAGGAGATTAATGTTGCTTATTCAATCTCAAAAGTTAATCGATCAATAAAAACTGTTTTAGTTATAAGCTGCCAACATTGTTCATACAACAAAACTAAGCATAGTAAAAGGATTCTAAAATAAAATTCTTAAATATTAAATTGTATAACTTCATTTCAAATGAGATTAAGTTTATAGTTAATACTAATTTAAACTCTTATAAGTGAAGAAATTGCAATCTAACAAAATTTTATACACATAAAATCTGTTTTAATATTGGAATCAGATGAAATAATTAAACTTTGATCCTTTCCAATTATAAAAAAAAATGATTAGTTATGACCAGTGACATGCAGAGGTTTTGTAATGTCTGGGGTATTGAAACTAAAGTAGGGTGGCCTATTGGGCCTAGTACTGAGAAATGTGAGAAAGGAAGACATTTGAAATATGCAAAAACAGATAAAACATGAAATAAATACTTTATTCAAATTAAATATAAACTAAATTTTTATTTCACTCTTTTTCTTTTTTATTTGCCCTCCTAATATAGATGCCCAGGGCCATCACACCTTCTGTCCCCCACTTCTGCATACTATTGGTTATGGTAGAATTATTTGAATTTTTATTTCCAATACTTTTGATATATAAAAAATAAATTTTAACTTCATGTTATTATTTTGTAAAAGTTTTTTTTGTTTTTTTCACAAAATAATTTAAAAATGATAAAAACTGATCACAAATATGTTTGTATGTATATATATTTAAAGTTTTCTCCTTGAAAAGAAAAAGAAATTTGCTTCTTTCAAAGTATACATGTTTATACAAAAAGTATATATAGTTCAAAATCTAGCAGTTGGTATTTTTAGTCTGCTCTAGCAACCATCATCATGAGCCAAATGCTGTGATCACAATGTTTTCAGAGTTTTTTTGTCTAGTAATACTCAACTGTCTGTTGCTTCATACAACATGAAAGTTGTATGGGTCATAAACTCAAAAGATACAATTACTTGTTTAATATTAATATTTAAGTTTTACTATTTTAATTTTAATTTAAAATTGATATTTCTTCCTAGCAAATAGAAATTGACTGACAAAAGCAATGTTTTGAATACTTAACACATAACTAATATTTATATTTTATTTAATTCAATTTCCTCATCTTTGTTATAGCAAGCAGTCTTTATAATTTTCAACAAAAACTGAATGTGTGCATCTGCTAAATATGAGAACTTATTTATATTTGAGCATAATTTTTAAAGTGATATATCACAGCAACTAAAAGCAAAATGAAATACATAAGCTTACTGAGAATTATTAAAATCATTCTAACTCCATCTTTATAACAAAGCCTAATTATTCTAACTCCATCTTTATAGTAAAAGCCTAATTGAGTAGAACTGATGGAAAGAAAAATGAATAAAAGAGAGCAACAAATTTAATTGCAAATGATATGCCAAGTAAAATATGTCAGCCCTTATATGAAGAAGACTGTTGCTTGGAAACACATCTTGATTTGAATTCAGCACTATCTACATTTTAAGTAGACTATTTTTTTATATTTATATACTAATTGGGAATCACAATAATGTTTTACAATTATTTAATGGAATGGGAATTAAACTTCAGGATATTTTTTTTAATTTAAAACTTTATTTTTTTTTTATTACTCTATAAAATAATTTTCAATATTTTTAAACAAGTTGTTGATAGAATATTTCAAAATCTTTACCACAAAAATACAATTGTATTTTTACATAAACATAACCTAATAAAGACATGAAGTAATAAAACAATATTCGGGTAACTCAACTTTTCCTTTTTAAATTATTAAAAAGGAACTATGTTCAATACTTTCAAACCCCTGATTGTCAAAAACAGGTTATGTCCTAGCAATAAAAAAAAAAAAATAATAATTATATTGTATAAGCAGTTGGACAAATATATTTTTGAATAATATTTTTTTTTATCTTGTACGCTAAAGTTTTCTTGCTTGATTTGAACAGATATCATGTCAGTTATAAATAAAATTTCAGTTTATATTATTGTTGAATTAGGTACACATACACTTAGAACAACCTTGAAAAAAATAAAGAACATTCTGTCCAATTTAGTCAAGAAGTGTAACTTATTTTTCTAAAGTTCAAATTAAAGATTTTGAAAGGCATTATTATTATTTATTAATTTATATGATATTTATATGTTAGTTACCTTTATTTATATGTTACCTCTATTTTAAAGACAAAAAACGCCCAATACGAAAATTTAAAAGAAACTAAAAACAAAAGTAAAAAAAAACTTAAAATTTAATGGCGTAAATTAAGTCATGCAGAGAAGGAAATAAATCTTCATTTCAGCATTGTTTGGTTAATTCAAGTAGTTTAGAAAAATGATTTTTATATATAATTTACTGAGATAAAGTTTGAAAATTAAAACGATTGTACGCAATAAAAAGGAAAACAAAAAAACAAAGCGGTGACTCTTGTAAATGATCGAGTGACCTAACAACGAGAACTGCAACAATAGATCGTTTCTTCCTTGTTTAGTAGTAGGAACTCATGATCTCTCGTGTGCATAAATACATACAAGAGTCCAGCTGGGAAACCCCTTGTAAATATTAGGAATTTCTTCGTTTGATTGTCGTCATTTCAGCAACCGTGAAAAACCGTTAACTTTCGATAAAACAAGATCTCATATACAGACGAGTCTGTTAAACACCTTAAATTGGTTGCATGCAGAAAGTGTGACTTGTCGGCCATATTTAACATTCCTTCTTTGGGCCGTAACGATTTAAAAAAATAATTTATGAGCAAAAATTCAAGTTCTACAATTCATTTAATTTTCATACTTTGATTAATGAAAGTACATTGATTCAAAAATAAACAGCTTTTGACTAAAGTATAATCAAGCAGATAAATATATAATTTTTTAAAGCTTTTAAAGTTCTGTGACGTTCGTGCTAAAAAAGATTTTTCTGGTTTCGCTTTTATTTTTATTGTTATTGAACTTCAATTATTAAGTTTTTAGTTATTTTGATCTGAGATTTCAAAAACAGATCCTAGAATAAAAAGAAAGAGAGTCGACTCCAAAATAACGTGAAATTTAAAATATCCAAGTTTAGCTTGCGTATTACGACCAATTGTCATTGTGGTATATTTAAAACATTTTTAAAAGTTATTTAAAAACAAAAAATGAACATGACAATAGTAGACAATGCGAAATATAGATCGACTATTTATTCACAGTTTATTACCCCTTCTTACTCTTCTTCACCCAAAGCAAAGTAGCATAAAATTAAAAAGTAATAAATCGTTGATTTAATTAGGAAATATTACTGACTGAAAATAACAAACCAGAACAAAAACAGATGTTTTTCCTGGCAAAAGTTTCAAACTTAATCATTAAAAGTTCCGTTATAAAAAAAAAAAAATCAGTCTCTTGTAGCCGTAGAGACGCCATATAAAACAATTTTATTTTTATGGCTAAGAAGAGCTAGATTCCTCTTTTACTTTATTCTTCAATGTTTATCGACATATAAATTTAATATACCAATATATTTTTAGTTTAAGAAAACTAAAAAAAAAAAAAAACAAAAACAATTGTTTATCAATGGCGCTTTTTAACGTTTTTCGTGAGTGGTGGGATTGATTGATTAAATAAAATGTAAAAACATCTCATTATTGTTATTGTTTCAAAGAGAATATACCAATAAACTTGTTTAATTGAAAAATAATCCAACTGCGAAAAAAATAGTCAAAAAAATGAAGATTAAGCCTACATGCCATAGTGTGGCAAAAAAGTAAAGTGAATAATGAAACCGTAGAAAGAAATTAAATTGAAAAAAAAAAAATGCGGTTCCAATCTTTAATAATTAATGTTAAAGTAAAAAGTGTAAAAAAACAAATTAATTAAATAATCAAAATTAAAAATTTAACAAAATAATTTTAGAAAGTTTAAAAATTAAGTTTTGATTTTTAACTTGACTAGTTTCTCTCTAATCTTGCCTTTTAAAATGGCGCAAATAAAAGTAAATTAATTTTTTTCAGAATATAAACTTTATTTTAGATATATCCCTCCCATATATATATATATAAATTTACAGAATATGTAGTATAAAAATCTTTTTTAAACATCTAAAAAAAAAAAACCTAGTGGATAAATAAATAAGGTAACTTTCTTTATCTAAGTTAAAGTTAAAAAATAAAAATTTTAAATGCTCAATTTATATAGGAAAAAAATTTCATATTTATAAAATAATTATTTTAACCAGTTTATTAAAGGAAATGTTCTTAGATTATTATTTTTGTGAATAATACTTTAAAAAAAGTAAACATTTAAAGAAATCAAATTTTAAATTGCAAAATTTTCAAAATCTACTAAACAATCTTAACAGTTACTTATTCCCCTTGAGAGCCAAGCTGTTGTCTAAAAGGCCAAGGTCATTAGCAGTACCAGGCAAAAAAATGGCTTTATTTGAAGAAATAAGCAATTTAATTAGAAAAGCTAACAACAAAACAATTACTAACGTATAAATATTTCAAAAGATAAAATTGATAATTAATAATAATACACAATTATTTGTTACAGTTCCATTTTTAAAGCTGAATATGCAAATTAGATATTCCTATTTAAGTTATATCCGCTAAGTTAGCCAAGGTATAAGAGGCATGCTGCTGTTGACAGTGGAGGTCCGAAGTCACTAGAAATACGGATGCTAAGTTCATTCTCCCACTTCGATTGTTTAAAAACACGTTTGATCGTTTATCTTCCCAACTTCTAGTGACGACTTTGAGCTCCTTTTAATAGCACTTTCCCTTATTCGAATAGTGGCTAAATGAGTGAAATATATATTTGTACACTAGAAACATTTTTTAATAAATTTCCCATCAAAAACTTTTTCAAACTTACCCAAAATATTGTATATTGTTGTCAGTTATTAAATGTACAAATTTATTAACAAGTTGATATTTTTTGTGTTTGTTGCGTGGATGGTGGTTGCACATATAAAAATA